GGAACACATGTAGTAGTCCACCGGAAGGCACCACCTTGGTGACCCTGCACCAGAGGGCGTCATCTGTAGGGTATAGGCATTGATGATGCTGGGACCAGTAATTCTGGGTTTATAATGGAAGTCCTTCCCTTTATCCCTCACGTTGGGGCCCACTGTATTGCCAGGGATAGGTGAAGCCAGGCAAATGGCAGGAAGTGGCTGTGTTCAGGTTCACAGTTGTGGCTGGCTGGATTTGAGGGGTGCTTGTGTCCGGGCAAGGATTGGAAGATGTACCATTTCCAGAAAAAGGTGGGTATGGAACTGGCAGCAATAACTGAGGGGATCTTATGTAGCCACTTGGCTGGGGTGCAGGGGTTTTCTGATGCAGGGAACCCTAGAACGAATCCTGTTGAGAATTGGCCAGCTGCTGTTTCCAGAGTGACCTGTAGAGGGCAGCCTCAATCAACAAAACCCAGGCGTGCCAGGCCAGCACGTCTACCTTCTGGTCTGGAACCCTGAGGTTGTGCTTCCCTTTGAGCTGTGGGTAGGGTCACTGTTGGCCTCAGTCTCAAGCCAGGGGCCACACCCAGCAGAAATCGGGAAAAGAAGGGAGTATGTCTGCTCTAAGAGCGCAATACGAGCTGAGCTGCAGTGTAGAGCCTGGGTAAGTCCCATGGTGGGAGCAATGGTGATACAGGGGAAAAAAAATCACTCACCAAAGACCATAGGATTTCTGGGGTCATTATGAACCTGTCTGCTTGTCTTGGATTTTCCAAAGCACAGGCCCTACCCAGATCATGTCACCTTTCTCCTCATCAGCCCTATAAGCCCTTGTCTTTTGTGGGCAGCACACTTAGGCAGAACTGATATAGAAACCTATGGGCAGGGAAGGCTTAGAGGTGCAAGCACAGGGCTTACTGCTTGCCAGCATCCACCCTGGTGTGGGGCATGTTCCTTCCTAGTACGGGTTGCCTTCTGGCTGCTCTCTCTGGGTCCTCAGACCACCCTTTGATAGGATGGGGAACATGGTCCCCTCTGCTCTGCAGATAGGGAAACTGAAGCGCGCTCGCGCGCGCGCACACACACACACACACACACACACACACACACACACACACACACACACACACGGGGTGAGGTGTTGGCACAGGTCCCATGTACTTGAACCCAACTCCTAATACCTTTGGACCTTAGGAGGGCGCTCTGCTTCCCGAGGGCTTACTCAGGAGTTGACTTCAAGGACAAAGCTTCCAGAACATTTTAGCTGAGGGGAGAACCCCTTTGCACACACCCCCCCCACTTTTAGAAGGCTGGAGAGACAGGGAGGGGGTCAAGTAGGATGAAATCATTTGACCACAGCCTTTTCCAGTTTTCTAGATGGAGCAAACAACCTGGAAAGCCAGGGACTTACCCAAGGTCCCACAGCTAGTAAGGGGTGGGTCTGGGTCTGGACACAGTTGGTCTAACAGAATCCAGGCTGGGCCCTTCAGTGGCCCCCAGAATCCCTCTGCATTCAGTCTCCACCTCAGCCCGGGTGCAGAAGCCGCGGTCTCAGTGGCTATAGAGAGGCCCAGCGCAGCCCACCTAGCTCTTCTGTCAGTGGAGATGATCTGTGGGACTGCAGCTCCCAGGACTGTCTGTCCATCATCCTCTCAGATGGGGTGCTCTCTCAAGCAGTCTGACTATCACTCTCACCCAGATAGGCTAGTGTCCCTTTAAGAGCGGGGCCAGATAGAGCCTGCCTTCTGAAAGACCTTAGAGGGGAGGGGGGCAGGCATATGAGACACAGACCCTTCCTGTAGATCTCTGAGTTGGCTTCGGCTTCAGTCAGGGCTTGGGGCAGCATCCTTAGCCAGCAGGCCTCATCCACCAGCAGGGTCACAGCCGGGCCCTAGGGAAGACCAGGTACAGGAGAGGATCAGTCTACATAGGAGTGCCTATTGGGACTGTGCAGTGGAGGTCAGTGGCCTGGCTGCTTACGTGGCTGGGACACGTGGAGTCCAAACGCTATGGTATTTGGAGGCACAGCAGGGTGCTGCTCTTTCCAAGGTTAGGCATTAGCCTTTCTTGGAAACAAAGGTCCAGAGAGATCAAGCAGTGTGTCCAAGGGCACACAGCTAGTGAGTCTCAAGCCTGCAGACCTGTGTTGCCTCCCTGAAACAGTGGGTGCCTACAGGGAGCTACATGATACCCATTCCTATTGAGGGAGGGAGGGGAGGTGGGGGGGGGACACAAACCGACCCTTGGGTCCTCCTACAGTATAGCTTTCCTCTCTAGTGCAGGGTGGAACTTTTATCCCTGTCCATTCATTGGCAACACTGTCACTTCCCTATGGTGGGTCGCCCCAGCCCAAGACCAGCTGTGTTGCTGAGGCCGGGTAAAGGGTAGGGGGTAGCTGTGGCTCTGCCCTTTTCACCATCGTACAGGCAAGGACCCTGAGGCTGTGCAAAGGGTTGGGGGTTGGGGATCGAAGTTCCAGCCTAGGGCTGTGCCACACACTTCCTCTGCAGCCTGGTCTAGACCTGGAAGGAAAGAGCTCTGGGCTCAGCCCCCCAGGGCCACCAAAGCTGCTTGTTTCCTGCCCCTACACCCTGGCTCTCAGCCCAGCAGCAAAGGAAGTATACGTGGCCATGTCTCAGTGCAGTCCAGGCTGGAAGCCTGGGCTGGGATTTAGTCTCACGTGGAGGATGAGACATACCCGTGGCAGGCAAGCAGAGGCACCAGAAACCCTGTCCTGTTTGTCCTTGGAGGGTGACCGAACCTCAGTCCCTGGACCCAGCCACTTGGGCACTATGTGTAAAAAGTACAGAGCATGAGCTGGGCGGTGGTGGCTCATGCCTTTAATCCCAGCACTTGGGAGGCAGAGGTAGGCGGATCTTTGTGAGTTCGAGGCCAGCCTGGTCTACAGAGCAAGATCCAGGAAAGGCACAAAGCTACAAAGAGAAACCCTGTCTCGAAAAACAAAAACAAACAAACAAAAAAAAGCACAGAGCATGCCCATGCACTATTCTGTCAGCCACTTGCTGTTTTATTCAAATAAAAATGCCTTTTAACCAGAAACCTGTACCTCAAGAACTTTTAACTGAAGGCCCAGAGCCACTGCTCATTCTGTGGGTCTTAAGAACCCCTGTGGTGTTCATGGCAATTGGCTTATTGGGTAGGAAAGATAAACAACTGGCTGCTGATTGTGTGGGGCACCACCCTGCCAGGGCTGTGCTTGGCTTTCATGGGTTTCCTTGTATGTGGTGCCCATATAGACTCCAGGGCCAAACATCAGGATCTAACTCAGGCTTGACCTTTCCCCTATGACCCATGTGGACCAGCTCTTCAGAGACCCCATTCACATGGCATATAGAGAACCAGCAAGATAAGGCCTACTAGCTGGGAACTCCCAGTGACCAGGTACTATGAGGTCAGCACAGCCCAGCCAGGTGGCTTCCACGTCACCTGCTTGCTGCCACGTGGCTTGTCATGGAGCAGAGAGTGGAGATAAGCTGGCTCTGAAGGGGAGCCCTAGAGTCCCGGCAGGTAACACTTACACCCCTGGCCTCAGTTTCCTATATACCGGCAGAGTGAGACCACATGACACAGTTGCTGGGAAGACTCCTTGTCCTGCCACCAGCTCTCAGGGGTCCCAGACATGTCATTCTCCTCTCTACGGCCCTTTCCTCCCTGGACACTGATGAGTGTAGGTATGCAGAAGCCCATGGAGCTGCACACACTGGCCACAGCTGCCTTACGCTTTGCTTGAAGGATGACGTGAACAGGAAGTTATCTCTGGGCCTAGGTACGAGCCTTAGAGGGTCCAGGATCAGGCTGGCAATTGCCAGCTGTCCATTGAGGGGGTGCATTCCACCCAAGAGCCTGTTTCAGATCTACTGGTGTCAGGGGGCTCATTCTTAATGGGTACCTTGCTGACTCCCAGGGATGAAGGGGACAGATATGCCTTCAAGGTCACAGTTGAGTAGCCTGGAGCAAACCCGAGGGATAATACAGCACACGGGGTGTGGCACCCACATTGGGGACCTGTGACTCCCGCAGCCTAGCTATTCCAGGCCCGAGCAGAGAGCTGTCAGTGAGGTGGCTGGGTCTGGCCCTCCCTGCCTCAGCCTTCCACGTCTCTAATGAATATTAATGAGCGGAGGAGGGTGAGAAAATTAATCTGCCTGATCCTCTGATGGGTGCTGTGGTAACGATATGAAATCTAATTATTCGTCCCAATATTTCTAAACCCTCAAACTGAGACTGACAGCCTCGCGGTCGGTTTAACGCTTATCGCTCTCTGGAGCAGCATGTTCACGGCATGATAAAAACACGCGCGCGCACCACTTTGCTGACGCTGCACAAGCCGCTCTTTCTGTGGAGGTCCTGGTGTAGGGAGCACCAGACTGCATCCCTCCCTCCCACCCACGCCCCTGCCCCGCAGCATCGCAGCATGGGGTTCAACTTTGGGGAGCAGAGCTAGGAGGCAGCTGGGGGAGGCTGTTCATAATCACATCAAACCTCCAGGGAAACAGGTCACGAGATCCTGGCTGCCCCAATGCAGATGTCCTGGGCCTCCATCCATGGTCCTTCCCTGCCTCCTGGGGGCCTGTCATCCAGTGTCAGGATAGGCTGAGGTCTGGGGCAGGGATTGCATTCCCTCTTCTTACTGTCCCGATCTCTTAGGCCCTGGAGGATGGAGCTCAGCTCAATTCTACCTGACATCCCCGATAGCTCCCTGTTTGGCCCAGAACCTCCATGTCAGCTGGAGGCACGCTTTGATCCCCTCTGGCAGTGGCTGGGGTAGTAGGACAGGTTAAGGTCCCCGTGTGTGGCTTGCTTCCTTTCTTTCCTTTACTCTCTTTCTTGTTTCTGAACAGTTCTGAAATAGAAGCTCCGCTCTAGTGTTGAAGGCATCAGGCAAAGCCCCACAGGGTCCTGCCCCACCCATGGGTAGCAAGGAACAGGCCTGAATGGGGTCTATTTTATTTTTCAGAGGGGAGAGCTAGGAGACAGGTTCTCCTGTAATCCAGGCTGGCCTTGAACTTGCTGCATTGTCAAAGATGTCTGTGAACTATCAACCCCTTTGATTCTACCTCTTGATTCCTAGGATGACAGGTCTGTACCACCATGCCTGGTTTTTGTAATACTGGGGATTGAACCCATGGCTTTGTGCATATTAGGCAAGTGCTGTACCAGTCAAGCTATATCTTCAGTATGGGGCTTGTGTTCAATTCTCACAGCCTGGCCCTTTTGCCAAGGCCATCAGAGGCACGATGCCATCTCTCTCACGGGTCTCAGTGCCTCACCCAGGCTCTACTCCATCTGTACAGGGGTGTCCAGGCTCAGAGAAGGGCCCTGGCATTCATCCCTCTTGCCCCTCAATGGTCACCATTTGTCTCTTCCTCCTGGCTCTAACTCACCCCCGGCCCTCCAGCCTAAGATGTCGTCAGCCACTTTAAATTCTCCTGTGGATCTAAGCCTTCTCCCGTTCCCCCAACAAAGAGGTTAATGTCTCGACTCCGTGGACTGATAACCATCAGAAACCGTATCTGTGCACTATCCGCTACGACAACTTTATCTGAGACTTTTCCCAAACCTTGCTGTCCAACTTCTAAAGCCATTTATAGGGAAGGTAGGCCCTCTCAGCTGGGCAGCCTGGCCCAGAAATGGCATCCTACACTGCGGCCTGGACTCCAGGTCTCCATGGGCTGGAAAACCAGGGCTGAGGCCTGTGGCCAGAGGGTGACTCCAATTATAACCCCTCTCCTGATCCATCCACCTGTGCTAAGAATTTACTGATCTACCCATCTTGCACAGTGATGGCAGCCCAGGGTTCCTTTCTTTTCCCCAGATGCTCATTGCTCACTTCACAGGTACAAGGCTAAGGCCCACCGAGATGGCTATGCACACAGGATTAGAACCAAGGTCTGAGAAGCTCTGCCCCATCCCAGTGGCCTTTGAGTCACACATTCATTTATTCATTCATTCATTCATTCACCCCTCAGATAGTTTCTGAAGGCCAGCTGTGTGCCATGTGCTAGGGACAAAATAAACAGAAAGGAGGAAGGACCAGGGCCTGTTAAGGGCCAAGGACAGTAGGAGACAAGGGACTAGCAAGTGTCAGGCCTGGGCTTGCTGTTAACTGGGCCATCACAGACAGAGGAATGCAGACCCAGGAGAGCAGACATCACCTGCAGGGAAGGTCACGGGGTACGATTCATGCCATCCTTGCCAGCTTCCCCTCTGTATGGAATACCCTGCTGCTCACCTCCTGGTCCCCAGCCTTTTATCTCAGGTGGCTTTGGGGCCCACGGATGAGCTAGCTGCAGGTGGGCCCAAGGTTAGAGTTGCCCTGGCTCGGGAGCAGGTGGGAGAGCCTGAGCAAAGCTTGGTCCCTGGGGGTTTCCTAAGCTCCTACCACAGCAGATGGAAACCAAAGCATGGAGAAGAAGGGTGCCTAGGCCCCCACAAGGCCAGCAGCAAGCCTAGACTAGAAGTCCACCCCCACTTCTGCCTAGTGACCCAGCCAAATGATACTCCCGACTATCCCAGTCTCTGTGGAGTGGGCAGAATGGAGGCTTCACAGATGTCAGCAGAATCGTGAGAGTGATCGATCTCACATAGAGAAAGGGTCTTTACAAGATTCTGAGTTCAGAATCTCCGAATGAAAATATGAAAGTATCTGGAGCGGGGCAGTCCTAGGCCCAATAACAAGTGACCTAAAAAGAGAAGAGGCAAGGGGAGACGGGAGCCACATGAAGTCAGTAGCAGACAGAGTGGTGGCCAAGGGTCCTGGGGCCACCAGACACCTCAGGCAGACTCTGCCCCTGAGACCCACAGGACCGGCTCTGCCCACGAGGATAGTGACCTCTGTCTTCAACCATGGCAGAGTGTAACTGAGACACCAGGTTGTAGCACTCAGGGGGCATCCGTGGGAGGATCTGTCTGCTGTCAGAGTATGGCAGACAGCCATTTCCAGCGGAGGTTCCTGAGGCTGGCCTACTGTCTCTTCAAAGCACTAGATGCTAAGATGGGGCTGGAATGCCTCAGTCGGTTAGCAAAGCAGGACTCAAACATGGGACATCTCTGTCTGGGCAAGGCAGTGGTGGGCACAGCTGGGCTGCGTGGAAAGGAGGCCTTTCCTGGTAACCCCTTCCCTTCCAGTTACACGGAGATGTGGCGGAAAACCAAGCTTGCCCCAGCACTTCCTAAAATCCCTAGCGAGGGTGGGGCCTGAGGAAAGTCTGGGCTTTGCCATGCTGGCCTAGGTTTCCCAGCTCAGTCCTCAGGTGAGAGAGCCCCAGGCCATTAGGGGCTGACCTGAAGGACATTCCACACTCCAGTGAACACTTGCCCAAAGCCATGCGGAGGCTGGGCCCAGATGGTCCCACTTCAGTGTCTCTAGCATCTCTTCCTGCTTAGCAGTCATGGGCCCTCCCCCAGCTTCACTCATGTTATGGTGGGCTCCTGGCCAAAGTAAGTAAGCCGAGGGAACAATGAACAGGCAGAACCAGCATGGCCAGGCGGGGGTGAATGGCTATGCACTTACCATTCATCTATCCATCCACCTATGTACCCATTTCCTATCTGCTCATTCACTCTTCCACCCATCCATTCACCTACCTACCTATCTACCCACTTACCAACCATCTACTCACTTGTCTATCCATCTGTTCACCCCCTTACCCTCTATCTATTCATCTTTCCAGCCATACATGTACCCATTTATGAATACATGTCTACATATCCACTTATCCACTGGCCCACCCACTACTCATTCACCCACCCATCTATAATCCATCTACTCACCTATCTATCCATTTAAATAACCATTTATGCATCCACATCCACTCATCCATCCATCCACTTACCACCCATCTACTCATGCATCCATCTTTATCTGTTCACCATCCATACACCTATCTATTCTCAGTTACCCATCCACTCACCCACCCATCCACTTACCCAGCTTTATGTGCTCACCCACTCATCCATCCACCCATCCATCCATCCATCCACCCACCTATCATTCTTCAGTCCACCCATCCACTTAGTATCCTCATCTCCCCTCTCCTCATTAATCCATTCTGAGCATTTTTTTTTGGGGAGGGGGCAGGGTGCATCTTGGAGCTGGGACCCCAAGAAGCCTTTTCAACTGTCTTTTTTTTTTTTTTTTTTTTTTTTTTTTTTTTTTTTTTTTTTACAGGCAGTGGAAACCATAGCAAGCCATAGATTCAAGACTACCAACTCTCCACTCAGGGCTGTGTGACTCAGTTTCCTTCCTGGATACTAACCTTGGTGTGGGTGAGTGTTGGGGGGAAATTTCTCTTTCAACATGTCCCCATGATGAGCAGTCCCCAGCCTAAGAGAAGCCCAGGAAAGGGGCCCCATATCTGCCTGTGCTCCCCCCTCCTTCTCTTAGGGGAGAGAAGGAACTGCCTGGTGGCTGATAGGGCCATGGGGCAGGAGGCGACTTCTTCCTTAGGCTGCGGGGAGAACTGGGACCCATCAGCCGAACTTGATAAGAGCCCGCTGAATGTTAGCAAAAATATTTAGACAATAAACGAAGTATCGCAAAGGCGCCCATATCTTTCAGAAATCAATCATCTGTACCGTGTGTCTGGACGCTTGGCGCCAAGGCGGAGATAGTGCCTTGCTGGGGAGATAAGGGTTAATCAAGGATTTAATTCTGTGAGATAGAGGGGGTGAGGGAGGTGCTTCCTCCCTCTGCTAGGAGCCTCAGAGGCACTGTGACTGCAATCCATTGGCCAGCATCTCACACCTGGGTGGGGAGTCTACCTTCCTGCCACCTTCCCAGGCTGAGCTATGCCAGGAGACAAACTGGGGACAAAGGGTGGCAGAGACAGAGGCTCTCGTGAGGAAGGGTGGCTTGAGATGGCCCAAGAACTTGAGCACAGCTGGACTGGGTTCTAGCTCTCCCTCAGCTCTCTGGATCCTGGTGATCTAGGTAAGAGCCTCAGTGCTTAGCTTTGTCATCTATAAAATGGGGACATTTGGGGCTAAGGAGATGGGTCGAGAGGCTTGCCTCTAAGTCTGGCAATATGAGTTCATTCCCCAAGACCCCAAAGGTAGAAAGAACAAATCAACTCCTGTAAGTTGTGTCCTCCGACCTCCACATGTATGTGTTGGCATGTGTGGACAGACAGATGGATGGACAGAGAGAGAGGAGGGGGAGAATAAATTTTAAAAATTGGGGACAGTGGCCTGCCTCCTAGGGTCTGGGGAGGCTGCCATGTAGAGTGTGCCTGGGACATACTTATTTGTCCTAGCTTAGGTTGACCACCCGAAGGAGTACAGAGGAGACTGAGTCAGGGCACACCAGGACTTGGGTGCCAGTTCCTGGGCACACCTGCCTTTGCTCCTGTTGCCAGATGGGGGTTTTCCTGACTAGAGTGTGGAGGCAGGGGCTACCAGGTTCCTGCTTGCACACTGACTCCTCCTTCTGACTAACCAGCGTCAGTGGTCTCCAAGTCACTTGCTGTGTACGGCACACAAGGACATGCTTGCTCTGCAGAGCCACTTTGAATGCCCTGGCTTCCTTCCTACAGGCCCTTAATCAGCTGTCCTGTGCATTGTGACATCCCTCCCTGGACCTTGGGCCAGTCTCCTTCCTCGGGCTGTACTGAATGTGTACAGGGTCAAGTACCACTCTAAGCCTATCTTACGTACTCCATGCAGCCACCAGCAGGCAAGGGGATTGACTTCTACTTCAGAGCACAGCCTGGCCTTATCTTCTCCGCAGGCCTAGGCCGAAAGGAAGCCTCTAGGTTCCGAGTGTCCTGCCTGCGGTCCCGAGGGCTGAGAAAACAGTGGCTCTGAGCAGGAAGGGATCTGCCTGGGACATAGCAAACAGAAGACTCCAGGTGGACCTGCTCAGTCCAGAGCCAGCTCCTGCTCTCCCTGGACAGCCTGGGACAAGTGTACCTATCCTGCTGGCTGAAAGGCTATGTGGCCAGGCCACAAGCCTCTGTAGGTGGCTTATTTGAACTCGGTGAGCCTTTTCCAACGTGAGAAAGGCTGTCCCAACACAGAGATTCTGAGTCACCACGTATGGCTTGTGCAGAAGGGGCTGTGAGTGATGGTCTAGGGACCTGTTTGCTGCTCCCCACCTGCCTATGGACACTGTCTCAGCAGTTTGTGCTTCCGTGATGTTTCTGAGGATGAGACTCCTCAGATGTATGCACGTGTGTGCAGCATCCTGGCCTCCAGATGCTGGGGAAGTGCAGCCCACAGTCTCAGCCTCACCTGCAAAGGGCACTAAGAGGGCATTTCTCACCCCAAGGAACCCAGCAGCATGTGGCACTGGCCAGCCAGTGACTATCTTGGATCAAGCCACACCCAAATGCCACATCAGGAGACAAGAGGGCCTCCACCACAGTGCTCTAGCATAAAGACACCTCATCCTGGGTTTGACAGGGCTAGCCTAGGAGCTGCTGGGCCTCCCGGGCCTCTGCCATCATGCTGCCTCTGGACACTGCACAGGGCCCCCCCCCCCCCCCCATTCCTGCTCATCAGCCGCCTGTGCAGCCGCCCCGTGTTTGTTTGTACGCAGGTCTCTGTGTCCTGGTGTCATTTTCCATCTGAAACGATTTCAAAAGGAACCCACACATCCCAGCAGGAGGAAGCCAGGCCGACTTGCCATAACAGAAGCGGCCTCAGAAGCAAGTCCAAGACAAACGGCGGTGTAGCTGTGTGGCGGGAAGGAGGCTGCCCTAGGAAATCTCTGCCCAGGCAGGGCTGCTGGAGTGAGCAAGCTGAGCCAGTGCCGGAAAGCCACGCCCACCCCAGGACCTGTTCCTGAGTCGGAAGGAACTTCTTACCTTCCTGCAGCTTCCCCTTCACTCAAGCTGCTGCCCACCCCTGGCCACCTTTCCCTCCCGACCTGATGGGCACCCTGTTCCTAGCCACTCATTCCCTTTGGACCCCCTTCCTTTCTCCTGCTGGGCTCCCGTCCTCCAGGAAGTCATCCTGGGACCCAAAGCACAGTATCACTCCCGTCTGAGGCCTCCCAGGAAGTCCCTCCCCCTTCAGGGGCCTCCCAGGAAGTCCCTCCCCCTTCAGAGGCCTCCCAGGAAGTCCTCCCCCTTTCACCCTTGGCTCTTTGGATTCCACCAAAGTTCCCCATGGGGAAAGGCAAGAGGTGTGGTTGGTCAGTCAGGGTTCAGCTCCTTACCGGTTCTTCCCGCTCAGGGGATACGGCTCTGGTCTGGATGCTCCCATGGAATGGGCCCCAGGACAGGCCCTCAGTGAGGCTCAGTCGGGCTCGTACACACCTCTGCCCGTCCTGCAGTGCCAGCTCCAGCTCCTCTGAAGAAAAACATGGTGGGGTGAGGTGGCTGCTTGGTGACCCCCCAGCCCACTTCTGACCCATGGCCCCCACTCCTTTGCCCTTTTTGAGGACACGCTGGATTGCAGAAACACCACAGAGAGGTGGGACAGGCCACACCATGGCCTTGGTCACTGTCTGCAGAACCTGTGTGTGCCACACACATGCAGAACCTTGTGTGCTAGGCCAAATGGTGGCCCTTCTCAAGACATCACCTGTAACTGTGGATGTCCCTCGCACGTGAAAAAAAGGTCTGCAGGTGTGACTAACGATCATGGGATAAGATCACCCTGGATTAGCAGGTGCTTCTAAATAAAAGACAGTGTCTTTTAAGAAAGGCAGACACAGAATACAGGGCCAGAGGGTATGCCACATGAGACTTCTAGAACTAACTTCCCATGGATCATGGCCTGCAGGTTGGGACAGGAGACTCAGTTGTACTTATTGGTGTTAGCTCTGAGACACATGGACACATGGGCAGCCATCTGCCCCACTTGAGACTCTGTCTCTCTCTCTCTCTCTCTCTCTCTCTCTCTCTCTCTCTCTCTCTCTCTCTCT